TATGTGCTGGATTGTCTCAGGGCCTCTTTGCACAGTCTGCACCTGGGGTCTTGTCTGGTGTGGTAGATCTGGGCCTCCATTGCTCTGGTGCTTAGGGGCTGCTCCTGTGAAGCCATGATGAGTGCCTCTGTGCTGTCCTTCAGTCCAGCTTTGTCTAGCCATTGGTAGGATTTCCTGATATCTGCCACTTCGATTATGTTAGATAGATAGATAGATAGATAGATAGATAGATAGATAGATAGATAGATAGATAGATAGATAGATAGATAGATAGATAGATAGATAGATAGATAGATAGATAGATAGATAGATAGATAGATAGATAGATAGATAGATAGATAGAAAAAAAATCATAAATTTAAAACAATGGGTTATTATTAGATATTTGATTGATTGATTGATTTGCTTTGTATTCTGAAAAAAAATACGTCATGACTTCTGGGGCTTTTCAAAAAGAAGACCTTTACTGAGCTCTCGCTGAGAAAAGTCCCTGGATCCTGTTGAATTTGAGTTTGTTCTTCAAAGCATTACATTTGTGTGAGTTTATTTGTAAAACTAAATCCCACAGTTTGATTTGTTTAAAGCTGAAAACACATATTTACACACAGCTTCTGTGTGTGTGAAGTCAGCTTAAAGAGGCAGCCAAACACAGTTCCAAACAAAATGGTAAAATTGCATACAGAACTGGTAAACCTATTCCTTTTGATTTTTGGTTATGGATTTTACATTATCAACTGGTCTGAGGAGAACTAAACCTACACCAACATTTTGCCTGACATTTTTTAAGCATGGGTTAGGGTTAGGGCAGTTAATTTTGTCTTTATTCAAGAAATGTGTTTGTTGCATCATCAGTGGTATAATTCTAAAACAATGCATAAAGCTGTTATTGTTTCACATTCAGTCCTATTTGAGTCCTTCTAGGTCTGTGGTATTCAAAACTCATTAGCCTGTGAACATTGCACCACTGACATTTATCTATGTGAGATGCCCCTTTTTAGCATTTAAATTGAGGATTTTAGACTGCCTAGAAATGGGATATTCTAATTTGATCAAGACAGATGAGGTGTTGAAATCTTCATTAGCACTGTTTGGGGTTAAGACCTGAAAGACAAACCTAAAAGGAATTATTTGAATACTGCTGCAGTTATAAAGAGCTATAATAGAGTATTTTAGGGGACTGCAGTACTAATTTAGCTCTGATTATACTGCATGACCACTTTAGCTCATACCGAGGAAGCTAAAAGGTAAGCACATTACATTGTACTGTACTCAGGGTATGTCTTTGTATTAAATAATATGCATAGGGTTCAGAGATGCCCCGATCTGTGGAGTGCTGTCAATCTTTATTCAAAGCAGCGCCTCACTTCATGACCAACCTGCACACCATGCTCTGAAAATAGAACAGGAAAAGGATTTTAATATTTACAAAACATAATGCCACCAGGTTGCAGAAGTTTGTTTTTCATAGAGAAGGATCTAACCTGTTTATTTGTTTTTTAAGCTTTTACTTGATCTGTTTTCAGTGCACTGTCTATTGAAATGTTTTATTGATTGCATATGTCTGAGTCTGTTGCACGTGCTAAACATATGTTTACAAATAGGGCAAACCTGGCTGGTTAACTTTGTGATTTAGAGATTTCACTTTTGTTTTACTTTCCCACCATGTCTCTCTTTCTGTCTGGCTCATAACATTAACTCTGCATTGTTGTGAAAATACACCAGGGGTCTATCTCTGTCCGAGCTACACAAGCACAATTTGCAGAGAATCATCTCTGGTCTGAAATGAAACTGATTGAAATAAAAACAGAAAATGATAATTGTACTTTATTGATCTCACATTGGAGAAATTTACCTCTGCATTCTCTGTATAGCTGAAAGGGGATAGCTAGAGGTTTACTCCTCGTTGCCAGTAATCTGTGGACTGGTGCTTGCATACTCTGGTTCCAAGCTTTAGGTGTACTGTTTCCAGCCTACAGCCAGGTCCAGCAATCCTAGTGCTAACATTTAGAGACTAAATACATTTTTTGATATTAGTTCATAGCTATTTGTTACTATCTGCTTTAGAAACATTATGTCTTTGATTCTTAGATATTAGAAATAGTCCTCCAGAACATTGTGCATCACCTTGAGGTGCATGAAGGTAGGGTTTTTCATTGGGGGAAAAAAAGGGGGGGCGGGGCATACAGATCATCCTGTACAGTATCAGGGAAAACTTCTTCAAGAACGAGATGTTTTCATATACCTTTTAAAGGTTGTATCAGTAATCTTAGTTGTGACATATTAGTAACAAAAAAGTAATGTTAATTAAACAAAAATCCAACCTTTAGTCATCTGCACTCATAGAAGTATTTTAAGGGAGGACCTAATATCTGAACCATTCTTCCCATTTGGGTGTCCTCTTGATTAGCTTCCTCTCTGACTCCCACAGGAAGATGCTGGTGGGCCAATACCATCACGTTTTTCAGCAGCTTTTGAACATTTAAGTGAAAAGGGAAGGCGATTGCAAATGGAAAATTGTGAAGGCAGGGGAGAAAGGAAATCATGCTGTTTTGTCATTCTCATGTTGACAGACCTGTTTCCAAGTATTTTTTTTCCATTACATGGGAAGGATTCCTTTCACAAAGCCTTGTTTTTTTAAGCCACACCTGTTTTTCTTGTGAGAAACAAATTGTACGTTAGTATAAATAACATCATGATCCAGTGAACCTTTTATGTGCCAATAAAGTTCTTACTGTTGAAGTTTGTGTAGGTCCAGGTTACAGGCCAAGCACACTAACCTCAGCTGCTTTAAATTTAAATTTTTGAGATGAGAGACATTGAGGAAAAAAGAACAGCTGTGGTAACCAGCTGCCAACTGGGCAAATGGAAATATATGAATGACATTATTCAGTAATGCATACCATGGGATATTCTCTAGTCAAATGAATTACCATAATGATTTTGCAGGAGAGGGTCTTTGCCAAATCTTTTACTATATCTTCCACAGAACAGCCTCTTTATTACAGGCTAACCTAATTGAGGATTTTCAATGTGAATATTTTTGTAATGGCTTATTCCTTTTCAACCTCGTCACATCTGCTTCCTTTATTTCATACATCTCTTACAATCTGTTTCCATTGAGAGAAGAGAGATCAGAGCACCTTCATCAGTGAAAAATAGGTTAAGCAGTCTAGATTTGTATTGCTAAATATATTAGAGAGTGAAAATCCTATTTATCTGCAATCATAGGAAATACCACACACGTAAACGCCTCTCTATTTTAGTTTACTTTGAAGCCCAGTAAGGGGTTAACAACAGTTACAGAACAATATTCACAATATTCCATACTCATAGTATGTATATGTGTATATATATTACACTTTAAGTATATATGTTATTAATTTATTCTATTAAACAATGAGCCTTATTAAAATCTAATGATACATTTAAAGACCAGTGAAAATAATGAACTATTTAGTCTGCAGAAAAGACATCTAATGGATGAAAAAAAATACATTAATGTGGTCAAATATTCTTCAAATATATTTTCAAATATATTTTTTCTAATTTCCTTTATTTAGGTGCATCAGATAATTATATATTTTAAAAAGTCACCAATGTAAAATTGTGAAATAAACAATATATATATATATATATATTAGGGGTGGGTATTGCCAAAGAAGTCACGATTCGATTCGAATCACGATTCACATGCCACGATGCGATTCTATCACGATGCATCACGATACTTGAATTATTGCGATGCATTGCAATATTTTCTCCTCCATGTTTTGTTTTTGAATGACTCGGCACAGTATCCCGCGGCCGGAAATGCTCGTGACACAAGGCAGCGTGCGTCAACACATTTGAGGCGACATCTACTGGACTGGAAGTGGTATTACACTTGTTTTTGGCTGATGTTCGCCAACCATTCATGCAATTTTATTTATTCATTTTTTTAAATTAATAATCGATTCTTGGCATCAAGAATCGATGCAGTAGATCACGAAAATTAGAATCACGATGCATCATCATCACGATTATTTTGCACACCCCTAATATATATATATATATATATATATATATATATATATATATATATATATATATATATATATATATATATATATATATATATGAAGGCCATACAGACACGTGGAAACCACACACAATACTGAGCCTTATTTAGACCTGTTTTATGGATTATTGATTGTGTGTTTTGTTTGTTTGTTGAGTGTTCTCTTTATTTTCTTAAGCAGTTCATTATAATTAACTTCTATTGAAAATAAATAATTTTGGTCTCCATTATTCAGTTTTTTTCTATCGAACTTAGAGAACATGCATGGAGATACAGTGATGTTTACAATGACATCTGGGGCCACAACGGCTTTTTTAAATGAACATTTTTGGAAAATTTAATTTTTGCTTCTTTTTCAATATTTCAAGAGTCATAAGTGGTTTTGTAGGTCATTTAGTCCCACAGTAGAAACATTGCAACGTTAAAAAGGACATTTAGAAAAAGAAGAGGCATATTCGACAAAATCATACTTTCTTTGGATTGAACCAAACTAAAATATAAGTCAGATTAGTTTTTGTTTTTTTTTGTTTTTGTAAATGTCTCATTATTGTTACTTACAGCAGCAACTCCCAGAAACATTTCAAGCCAAGAAACCATTTTAGGCTCAGTGTGTACAGTGTGTTTTGGAGAGGTAGAGAAAGTGTGCTCGCCCATTCAGCATGTGTATCTGTCACACTCAGTTGGTAGTTACTGCTCCCATCCACAGCCTACTGTGAAATTACCATTTGTTTTGGACTCAAACATGGGCTTTCATGCTACGGTAATCTGACTTGTTCTTTCATTGCATCCCTCCTCTTCTTTTCTTCCTCTTCCGGTTTATTTTTGTCCTTCATCTTATATTCACCTCACCTTTTTTTATAAGTACAGAATTTGTCACCATTCCTCCCCCATCTGTGATGACCTATCTTGATCTCCTGAGTTCTGTCTCTGTCTCCCTTTGCAGACGATCAGCGCCCATGGTGTTCCTTCTCAGTGCTAACTAGGCTGCATTAAAGACCACAGGTACCCTCTACCCCCTCTCTGCTCTATTTTTAACTCTACTCTCAGAGATCTCTCTCCTTGATTTCCAATCTCTAATCCAAACTCTGATCTTTCTTGCCAAACTCTTTCTTTCCAGCCAGCTATTTGAAGAGAGTAAGCCAATGCATGTTTAGTAATTTATACCCCTTCGTTTCTTTTTTCCTTTTGTGATCTGTCTTAGTTTAAACATCTGCTGAAAAGTATCTCAAATTTGGATTTCAGTCAAACTGAAGATATTCACCAGTAAAGGAAAGAAAACTGATCTAAAAGCCCAGAACATTCTATAAATATATACATAACTTCTTATTTAAATTGGTTTTAACCATTAGAAAATAAATTCAATAAAAGAACGTGCTGTTTCATAATAAACCCTGTGAGTATCCACTCACTGTCAGTGTCATTCTCTATAATTCAAATAGCAGTGCACTTTAGAATGTAAACTCATAATCAATCAGCATTAAATCTCATTTAAATAATTCAAGTGCATACATTATTCAGATAAATGTGAAGTAATTGAGTAAAAGAATCATCACTATATCACCCCACTTCTGAAGGCTAAACAGATTTTTGACTTAGACTTTGGCTACAAAGAAATTGCTGCTGTCCTGTGCAGATTAGGTGCTAATCGAGTCGCTTCCTCTCAACTTGCCTCTCATCCCTGCTTCCGGATCTGAGAAAGTGGGAATTTATTTATAGTGCCAGCATATCCGGGTTAAGGCAGGTGCTTCCTGAAGGGGGCATTATTAGGTATATACTTTCCAACCAATCATTTTCACATCAGTAAAGGGGCAGCTTGTAAAGCCCCTCAACTCAGGACTATTACTCAGATATGCAAGAATCAAGCAAGTGCTTGATTTAGAAAAAGGAATAGAACTATAATATAGTTAGAAACTTTTTAAAAAGCTGATTTCAATTAAAGAGGCTGAACAGAAGAAATGCAGATTTATCCAGGTGTTCTTCTTACCCTCCTCATTCTTCTCAGTTCATGCATTAACTGTCTCTTTCACAGTTTCTCTGTCACTAACTTCTTTTTTCTTAACGTGTCCAAACTGATAAGACAAACACAGCTAAGCCTAGAAGTCTATGTTCACAAATCACTACAATAGATAGAAAATAATACTGTACATACAATTAAGTTATATATTCTCAAGTCGTTGTCTCTTTAATCAGTTTATTGCAGAAAATTACGTATTTCTTTAACTCTAACGATTATAAGACATTTATGTATGGAATTATCCGTTATAAGCCATCTGAGATTTTTTTTTTTTTGTATTTTATTGAAGCAATGACTTACTGTAGGCTACTTTTCTTTAAGTTAACAGAGTATTATTGAATTGACTGGGTCCATCATATTTTTTTGTTAATCCAAATATGGTCATCCTAATTTACGATAGACTACATACTAACTCTACCTCATTTTCCAAAATGATCTTTTTGATATTTTACTAATAAGTTAATTTTCATCGTATGTACTTTTCTGAAAGCAGCCCAGCCCAACGTAGTTACCCATTTACTGCGTCATCTATACCCATTGCCACCCTCATCACCAATCTCATCAGTATCACCTGGTTGACTTTCTGTCCTTACAAACCTTACCTTTTTAACATTTGGCGATGTTTGAATCAGAACCATAATATGACAGGGCAGGTGATGAAAAGCTTTCACTGCTCTTTTATCTGTCGTTTGTTAAAGACCATGTAATTTTCACTTTCAAACCGCTGCTTTAAAAGCGGTTGTTATGAGCAAAGCACTCAATGTAAACTCTACACAGCTTCCATAATAATAGATCATAGGCAACTTTTGTTCCTATCATTCATCAGATGATAAAGCCACAGACATTTCTGGGGAGAGGTTTTGCCCGGGACATGATGTCTAAAATGGGATGTCTGGTCACATTAGCTTAGGATTTATACTAAAAGTTTACTTATGCCAAAAACTCAAAAATGGCGTAAAAAAACCTGATTTATAAAACCAAAAGCAGACAAAAAATCTATCAATTTTTATTTATAAATCCCAACTGTACCTTAAATTTTGCATCCAAGGCGTGTCCCTCTTTACACCCACATCTAACTATAAATGGTCCATGCAAAGTGCAGCTTTAAAGCCAATTTTTGTAATTAAGCCAGCAGACAAATGCCAACAGCAGGGAAGGGAGTGAAAAAAAATGCAGTTGAACCTAGACAGAAACAGATGTGCTGGTGAGTGAGGAGGAGAGTCAGGAAAAAATATGTTTGGTAGCCACAGTGGTTGGATGACAAAAGTATTATTAATGATAGCTTCAGAATCTGATATTTGGACAGATTTTATAAAGAACATCTAGACAGTGTTTGGCTTATCACTGGCTGTGATATCTCAGAGTTATGGATAATTTCATTGAATTATTTTGTTCCTAAAAGTAACTTTAGAAAGAAAGCATATATTTAAAAAGAGGCTGATAAGAGGCTGTGGCAGTCACATGGGTTACATTTTCCATATATTAAAGCACAGTTTACCCCTAGATGACCTCTTTTAGCTAATAAACCTCAGAAGTAGCCATCTGATAGAGCTGTCTACATGTAATGGGCATTATTTTAACCAGTGCATGTTGAATTCCTGCTTTGTTTGGTAACCTCCTCAGGTCAGACTTTTTATTGTCTTAGCTGGGATGTGACCTTACCAAGGAGAAACTGATCAACAGTTCTACAGTCAACAGTTCTACGCTGACTCGATCCTCTTACACACAGTGGGTCACTAATGTACTTGAAATAAATGAAAATGGTTTTCTTATAATAGAAAATGAAAATAAAAAAAGATAATTAAAGCTCACAAAAATGATAAGTGTATAAAATTGGATAAAAGCAAGTCTGCATCATCTCTCCAGACTAGTATAATGATTTGACCTTAGTGGTGTCAGACAGTTACATGACTCAAAAGCTCCAGTAAAAATACATCTTGATGAGATAGAATATGAAAAATGCAGCAAAATTAGACACAGAGGACTGTGCCTTGACTTTTAGTCTAAACTAATATTTAGACATAAATTTTGTGACCTGAATCCATGAATAATCCTTTCCAGTTCATCTAAAAAGAAATTCTAGTGCAGAAATTTCTGCAGCAGTTCCACATATGTGAAAAAACAAAACTATAGACTTACTGTTAAATATGTCAAAACAATTATTTAACCTTGGCATATGATAAATGCTGTTTTATCATTAAATGTACATTGCATTCATATTTTCTCATTTTTTTAGGAATTGATGAAAAAATTGTTAGAAAAAATAACTAGATTATTATGAAAATGAAAACTTTTCATAAACGTAACAGCGAAATAAACTATTGAGTAGTGCAGAATAAATGTATTAATTTTAATGTTCATTACAAAATTTTAATGGGATTTACCTGAAATGAATATTTGAGGTAATTTTGCACCAATATGATTCTGATTCATGTGGACCAAAAAAAAAAGCAATCTGAGGGGGAACATTGGTTGGTGGCAACTTAAGGAAACAAGAACTCTCTTTTAATTTCTTGAAAGTTATTGATTTTTAATTTTTTTTTACTTTGAAAAATATTTTCAATGAAATAGAAAAAAAAAATTGAATGAACCATATAAAAAGTGCTTAGGGAAATCTCAGCGGGTTATCGGTATTTTAAGATTATCCAATATAACCCTGAATTATACTCTAATAGAGTAGCACTGGTTAGCATAAATAAATCTCAAAATTGAACCTATTTCTCTATATTTGACACCCAGTGCAATAACTACACATATAAATATAAATATCCAACTATATAAATACCCATGTAAACATGCTGACCCTGTATAATAATCCTGCTATTAAAAAAAAGGTGTCATATTTGGATGCACCATATATATATTCAATACATCCCAAGCAGCTTTTTATTCCTTTGGTACCTTCTTCTTTTCCTTTGGCTATTTGAGCTTATATAAGGAGTAAATTTCTCCACTGTGAGATCAATAAAGTCAATCAATTAGCAAGAATTAGTTCTTATCCTTATGGATGGTTTCATCAGATGAGATTTAGGTTAAAACACTTGATAACTTCACACTTCCCATTTTCTCCCATTTAGTCCAGACAGTTGAAAGTGCAAGCTGCAACTGAAGTAAACAGCATTATGTCAGCTTTAGCTGCACGGTATGACTCAGTAATAATCCTTGTCTGAGTCCCTAGATGTGGCATTTAGGACTAAGGACAGACCTGCCTGGTAGCGCTCTTGCTTGAATTGCCTCATGCAGGGCCAGGTAGACAGCTCTGGGACAATCCATTTGTCAAACTAACAGTCCTTCACGGCTATAGACAGCAGCATTCAATGGAGCACTTTTGAGTTATTATGTGCCTTACAGAAAGAACGTGCAGAATTTCTTAAAAAGAGGTATTGGAGGGTATTTTATTGCCATAAATTCACCAATGTATACACACAATATCTGTTTTATTGTCACACATGACTTTAGTCACTTCAGTAGACTCACCTCCAGTATTTCACCTCTCATAAAGGCTTTAATCTGTAGCAGAAGTAAGAGTTTAAGCACTGCCATGCTGAGATATGAAGTGTAATGATATGAAGAAAGAAAAGAAATACCTAGAGTAGAAATTCTTCCAACTAGCAGCAACACATTAACAGTGAGCAGTATTTTTTATGGGCTGTATTTGCACACAATGTAAGACTAAATGTATTTCAGAAAATCTTAAGAAGGCAAAGCGGTAACATCTAACCCAGTAAGTAGTTCATTCAATAAGCCTAAGATAATACAGTGCCTCTGCTTAGGGCCACCACTTTGTTCTTACTGCTACTTTTTATTGAACTTTTTCTCCTTAAGGTGGATTATAATCTAGGCTTTACTTTTACTTTATTTTCACCATGCTCTTTTTTGCCTCTCTGGGCCTCCTCTTTATGTTTTCTTTAATCTTTTATCCTCTGTCATTATACAATGAGGAAAAAACATACTTCAATGATTTGAGTGGTCGTGAAACCTGTTTGCT